TGGTCTGACGCGTGCGCGATGTCACCCACCGGCCTCCTCACCGAGTGTCCATCTCCATCCATCTCTACTTTCTCCTGCATATTTGTTGGTTGGCGATTGGTTCTTGTTTTGTTTAGTGTGTTCCCATAGTTTCTTGTTGATGATTGTTTCTGGGCCGGCCGTCTGATCTTCAGTATAGAGCCAGCGAAGACAGTTGGTTGTTGATAAAGGTGTGCAACAGGCTGTTGGAAATATTCTTTGTGACCCGCCCGCTAAGGTTCTGATCTGTATAGAAGAACTGACTGACTTGACGTTTGTATTGAAAATCCGAGTGAATTTTGTTGTTGATGCTGGCTGAGTGACGAAGATTTCCAGATTGGTTTGAGGTTGATGAATGAATGTGTTTCTCGCCCTTCTCCCCGATTCTCGCTCGATTTGACATCCTCGTCCGTTGTGACTGCCTGTAGTTGAGACAATGCTCCCTAGATAAGTGAGTGAATGAAGTGACCTCTTTGAATTCCCTCCCGTTGATGGTGATTGACGCTGGATGTTTCTGTTGTTGTTGTTGGTGGTGGTTCGTTGGCAATTTTCATAACCTCCATCTTGTTCACCTATGTTCACCTGGAGTCGTGTCTTCTCCGGCTGCTTCTCCGGCTAGTTTGTCGGTTTTCGCTTGTAAGTCTTCGATTTTGTGTGTGTGACATCAAACATAAATCATCCACGCGCGGAATCAAGGTCTTCTATGTTCTTCACGTCGTCCAGGATATCCGTGTCATCTCGTTTTTCACTGTCTGACGCCTAATCCAGTCCACCACCACAATTAGGAATATCATTGGTGATAGATAATAAGCACCCTTGTCTGACTCCTGTGTTTACTCCGAACGCCTGGCTGAGTTTTTTGTTGTGGATCAGTTGACATGTGCCGTTGTTGTCGTACAGCTGTTGAATAAGGTTGATGAATATTTGAATATATATATGCCGTAGTACTCGAGTAGTTTCCAAATTACTCCGCGGTCAACGCTGTCTGTCGAAGGCCTTCTTAAAGTGTATAAAGTTGAGGTAGAGGTTTTATTGTGAATCCATGCTTTGTTGTGTGATGATGATGCGTAGAGTTGGAATTTGGTCAGAACTTGATGTGCCTTTCCTGAATGCAGCCAGCTTGTTCTGATCGGAGTTCTGTATCCAGTGCGTCCTTTAATCTCTCTAGGATGATGCGACTCAGGATTTTACTTGACGTTGACAGGAGCATGATTCCTCGCCAGTTCTTGCAGAGTTCTAAGTCGCCCTTCTTTGGTAGTTAGTTTCACGAGGTAACCTTTCCTCCAGTCAGTAGGCACCTTTCCCTCCTTCCAGACCTTTTGCAATAATGGAGAGTCAGCATGTCTGCTGTTTTCTCTGGGTCCGCTTTCAGAAGCTTGATTGCATTCAAGACTTCAGCTTTCGTTGGAGGATTGGTGTCAACTTGCAGTTGTGTAGGTGCTGTTGTTGGTACTTCTGGATGGGTTGCAGGTGATGGTCGGTTCAAGAGTCCTTTGAAGTGATCTACCCATTATATAATGTCTTTCTTCTTTGGTATATATATATATATATTAATGATAATATGATATTGTGTTTTTTGTATGCATATAGCAGTTCAACTTCTGGAAGGTAAATCATATAATCACTGTAATATCCCTTTATCTTGTATCATGTTATAATTTCCTTATTCTTCTCCAAGATATCATGAAAAGAATGTTTTTTTAATATATGTATATGTGTACATGTCGTTCCAGTGTCTGTTGCTCTTGTGTGTGTATTATCTAATTCACATATCAACTAATAGTGACATAGGCGGCTGATTGGATGGATGACGTAACCTCTCCCTTTCGTCACTCAGTTGAATGTTGTTGGTGTTTTAAAAAAATTTTTTTGATAGAGCATATTTCATTAGCTTAGCTTGATAAATAGATATAATCAATGTCACAAGTGTTGTTTGTCATATGCTCGTTGATTGATTCTATCATAATTATAATTATTAAGTTATTCTGCATACACAGACATACTGTTGTCATTGTTGTTTATTTTGGTGAAGTGAATTATTGGTTGAAAGCAGAGGATAACACCCCCCCCCCGCCTGCTTTGCTTGGACAAAACTGTCATTTATAAATTAGTAGTAGTTGCATGTGGGTTTGGTTTGTCTTTTTTTGTGATATTTAGTTTTAGTTATGTATCTGTGACCGGCGACTCACCACCACAGTATTGTTTTATTGTGTTTCTTGTTATGTCTTTTTCGTTTTATAAACTAATCAGTGATTGGTTGCTAGTAGTAGTGGTAGTTGCTGTTGATGCATGTCGTCTAACCTTTTATTTCCATTTATAAATTGAATTGTCGTTCTCCGTGCATTGATTTAAATTTTTTTGTTATTGTTGTCTGATTGTGGTAATTAGACCGTCAAACCATCATCATCATAATTATAGAAAACGATTTTTCTCATGGAAACGGTAAAGTGTTGCTGTTGTTGTTGTTATGCGCAGTTATAAAGTTAATTATTGTTATTTCACTATTATTTTATGTATCGCTCTGTCTTCCTTTATGACTGGCTAAGATACCTGGCCATTGATAGGGAAAGACATGAAAAAGCTTGATAGCTGTCTTTGATCACAGGTGTCTGCGCTCTATCTCCGGTGTGAAGTGGTATAATATGGTGAGCAATATTGAGGTTAGGCTTCGGTCAAGTGCTAGGTTAGGAGGGGAGGGGGAAATCAATCGATGAGGCTGTCAAGCTATATCGACTGAGAGAGATGTTTAAGATATGTGTTACGTATCCCTAGCCATCCATCGCCTTCGTCGACTACGGTCAATCTTAGCTGACTGACATAGGGTCAGGCTGGAAAGGAGCTAGCGGCGGTCAAACCAAAACATGGTTTCATCAATCAATGAAATCCACAACAGTTACTTTAAACCAGCCATGTAGGAAGGTGTAGACTTCCTGAGTGGTTAGGTTCTTCAGGACGGTAAAAATCAATGGAGGCTGGAGACACAATTGGTGATATGGCTCAAAGTGATCGTTCTCAACGGCTGGCGCAGATACATCCAGTGAAACTATATGGCTCTTCAATATTACTATTCTTTCTGCCTCATATCTCTATTTACTGTCTCTATTTTGCGTTTCTTTTTACTTTCGTCGCTGACTTTGTGTGTTAAGTGAAGTGGGGCAACTGGAACTGCTGCACATCGGTGCAGAGTTCTATGTTGAAACCAGTTAGTCAGTCAGTCGGCTGATGACACACTCCTTTACCTCGCTAAGCCAGTAATAAGACTGGTAAACAGGGAGGTTTGGGCACAAGGTTAGCAAGCCCACACTGCCCGTTAAAAATGAACACCACTGCCAGTGAAACTTCAAGCCTCTAGCTTGAAGCCTCCCTGTATTTTCCACTGGGAACGTAAAGGAATAGAATCTTATGAAAAATAATATTTGCACAGATCTTCCGTGCTGTTTGTTATATCTGCCCTTCGCATATTGTCTTTCTTTGTCTTCTTTTCGTGTCTCACATGTTTTACAGCAATACACTGGATCATTTGCTTTCTCTCTCTCTCTCTCTGTGACTGTCTCTCTAGCACGTGAAATCCACCCCTCCGTTGTTTGACATTTTTGTGTTCCGACAAACATATCTCGATATGTGCTACTGAGGAATCTTGTCAGTAGCACTTGCCACAGTAGTTATAAACCTGTCTCGTCGCATTTATATATGCGTGAAACTTGGCCACTGTGGTGGTAGTAGGTAATACCATATTAGTTTGTTCACTAGATGTATCACACAGTGAAACAGTATTATTTACTGGATGACAATGTTTCGAACAAAATTTATTGTGGTTCATAATCATATCAGGTAGAATCACATGGCATTGAAACTTGAGTTTTAGAGTTTTCTTTGTCTTCTCCTATTTGTCGTCGTTGGGGTAGTAGAATTTTCCAGATATCTGGGTGGACAGGTGTTGAATCATTCCTATTAAACGTGTTCCCTCACAGTTGATTCGGTAAACAAAGCTTTTGTTATCAATCCTGCTGCCTCAACCCTGTCACATTAGATTTTAAAACTGTCATTCTATCCCATCCATCGTTGCTGTATGGTTGTTTGTGATGGCATGCAGTGAGTGCTATCTACGGCTGAACTATTCTCTTGATTTCTTATCTTATTTAAGTCAACCAGTCTAGATTTTGGTAGGTTTTTACGTTCGGCTAGTCTGACTGCCCCCTGTTCTACTACTTCGATCTATATATTTGACCTGATAATCATTCTAGCAGGGTATTAGATAAACTAAATTATAAGTAATATTAATGACAACATGCATGTCAAACATTCACAAGACAACACCAACAAAAAGGAATCTAAATCATCAGTAGTAATTCCATACAAAGGAGAAACCTCGGAAATCTTATCCAGAATTTTTAACAATCCTGGCAGGAATAAAAGTGGCTGGCGTTCAAACCAACCACAAACTCAATTAGAAACAAGCTTTGTCTACTAAAGGATCCTGCCAGTGGAGTCTTTAAAACAAAACAATTTAGTTTATATAACACTCTGCTGGAATTATTATCAGGTCAAATACATAGATCAATGTAGTAGAACAAGGGGCAGTCAGACTAGCCGAGCGTAAAAACCTACCAAAATCTGGACTGGTTCACACAAATAAGATAAGAAATCTAGAGAATAGTTCAGCTATACCACCACCAGAATAAATTTTGTTCGAAATTCTGTCATCCAGTAAATAATACTGTCTCGTCGTATCTAATATGCATCACTGTTTGATTGAGTGTACACAGTCATCGTTTCTATTGTGGTTTTTTATTACTCCAATGTTTATTTAACTTTCTATTTTGTTTGTTTGTTCAATCGAGTTCAGTGAAATGCATGCATGCGTCATTTCATGTAGATTCACAAATCAACTAACCTTTTCTTTTCTATTCTCAATAATCCATAATCTTGATGTATGCCTTAATTTTTCTTTCTTATTTATTTATTTATTTATTACATTTTAGAGGAGCAATAGTTGGTGCATTATTTGGAATTCTATTTTTGGGATTGGTAATCGGTATATTCTTCTATTGTTGTTGTCGGCGTAAACGTCAGTCCGTGGTCATGGAACCAGTTGATATTCCAACTGGACAGCCTATTCCACCTGTAGATCCATTTTACAAACCGGTAAGCACACCGAGGCGTTTATCCGAATCCAATGACAACTATCCTTCCACTGTAGAACATGAACCATTATATAATCTGGTAAGGTGATATAGATTTGATGAAAATCACAGCACACACAGTGCGTCTGTGCGTGTGTGTGTGTGTATCATCTGCTCAGATGCATACACAGATTAGAGATGCTCTCTGGCTAACAAGTTGAATACTTTTTGAATCATGTTAACAATTTATGGATTCTGGTGTGTGTTGTTTTTTTCAGTCTTCTTTTCTTTTCAAACACGATGCAATGAAGTTGCTATTTTATGCCTGTTATTTGATTCTCTCTCATACAGTTACCATATCAGTGGTGATAATTTCGTTCAGAGAAGACGTACACCCCCGCGTTCTAAGTAGGGATTATATACAGAAATATAATAATCCATCCACGATGTGAGCATCTGGGAAGTAACAATCACCCTCACAATCGGAAATGCACACGAAACCTCCCTAGTCCAGACAGACATCTTAAGTAAAGCTTCGATCGTAGGTGCCTGCGTTCTATCTCCCGTGTGAAGTGGTATGATAAGGTGAGCAATATTGAGGTTAGGCGTGAGTCCAGTGCTAGGTTAGGAGGGGAGGGGGAAATCAATCGATGAGGCTGTCAAGCTACATCGACTGAGATGGTCAGGACATGTGTTACGTATGCCCAGTCATTGTCTTCCTCAACCAATGGGCAATGTTAGCTGACATAGGTTCAGGCTGGAAGAGAGCTAGCAACGGTCAAACCAAAACATGGCTTCATCAGTCAATGAAATCCACAACAGTTAGTTTAAGCCAGCCAGCGACGTAGGAAGGTGTAAACTTCCTGGTTGGGATCCTCGGGACGGTAAAATCCAATGGATGAAAACAATTGGTGATATGGCTCGAAATCGTTCTCAGGAGCTGGTGCAGATGCATCCACTTCTTGTGGCTTATGATTTCCAGTGAAACTATATTTTTCTTCGTTATTACTATTTCTTTGTCTCACACCTCTGTTTACCGTCTCTATTATGCATTTCTTCTACTTTCTTCTCTTGCTTTGTGTGCTACAAGGAGTGAAGTGTGGCGACTTGAACTGCTGCCCATCGGTGCAATACTGGCAATTTGAAACAGCACAAAAATAAGAGAGGAATTTATAACTCATGGAAAATTCCCATTGTAACATATAGAAAATCAAAACAAGTGGTGATTCAGCGAAGAGACTCTTTTCACCAACGAATTTATCCTCATCAAGCTATACGGTCGTATATAGACAGGTTATTTTAAGAAGTTATATCCGGTGAGGGAATTGAATCACAGGTGTGAATGCATAAAATAATAATAATAATAATAGTATGAAATGCAATTAAAACTAAAATGTTTGTGATTATAATCATAGTTAAATGTCAACCAGGGGAAAAACAATTAGTGTCAAATATAGAATAACTCATAGGATGGATAGAACTTGAAAAAGGGTGTGCAATTATAGGATTAGTAGACAAATCGAATAAAATAAAAGCGTTATGTAATATTGTGTGGAATTTAACAGTACAGAATTTATCGTTGTAAAAACAGAATTGATTTAGAATGACAAGTGGAACAAGTGAAATAATAATACCGGGGACAGCTCAAAGTGAGAATAGTAATAATAACAATTGACTTAATAAGGAAGAGTATACAAATTGAATACATGGAGGATTTCTTCGTGAGCTGACACCAGTTAGAGAACCACTGGAATATCTGGGAGTACTAGACAGCTGTTTCGTCCTAGTTTGTGACTCTTCCAGTGGTGCGTCGGTGGCACAGTGGTTAGGACTGTCGCCAACCACGAGGGGTTCGAGCCCGCGCTGACGCACACCTGATATCTATGGTCGGCCTGCAAAATTCGGGCTATCGATATCCATGCTGAAAATTCCATACTTGTTCCAAAAATACAGTGTGGAATCAAGCTGTAAATCAAGAAAAAAAAACTGATGTCAGCTCATGATGAAATCCTCCATGCAAATCAAACGAAAATCCCCTCAAAACCAGTACTTGAAAAAAATTGAATAGACAAAATTAAAAAAATTAGCACAGCCAAAATATGATTAGGGATTAGCATACTTTAGCATAGAGGGATTAAGACCATAAAAGTTGGAGGGGTTGAACGAACTGTTTTTCTGTACACAGTGATCTAGCTTTTCTGTTTCGATAGCCAACGATGCCTTCAGCAATACAACAGATGAGTCGGATATGTAGGCATTTGGGTGAATTACTCTTGGCCTTGTAGATGAATGCACGGAAGTATTTATTACAAAGTATCTGAGCAAAGAAAAACAGGCTGCATTGAGTTGATGAGTGTCGAGTAGTGAGAATTTCGCGTCAGATGAATTAAGCAAAAAGTCAGTGATGATGAGTTATTGTTGTTGTTATGGTGTCTTCCATAATCAATTCACTCACGAAGATCTCAGTTATTGATTGCTGTATTTCATGAGGATAGTGTGTTTGTGCACTAGTTTAAAGAGTGTGCTTTGGTGGCACAGCAGTAGGAATGCTTGCCAGCCACATCTCACGTGGTTCCGGATTCGATCTCCGACCACCAACTCACTCGCTAAGCCAGTAATAAGACTGGTAAAGAGGCAAGGTTAGACATAAGGCGGCCTAGCAAGCCCAACCTTCGTAAAAATAAACACCACTGCTAGTGAAACTTCAAGCCTCTAGCTTGAAGCCTCCCTGTATTTTCCACTTGGAACGTAAAGGAATCAAATAAATAAAGAGTTCTCAGCACATATGAAGCGTATTCTAATCTCCTTTATTGTATATCGCCCTTGTTAAACGTTACTTGAACTTCACATATCTCAGTGGATTTTCCGCTTACATATTTTCAAGACATAAATATGTCTGATTGAATTTTAGATTTTCCCGTCGATTGATTGGACCGAAGTGCTCCTCGGTCTCAGGTTGACATGTCGACTTCTTGTGCAGATGCTTCGACTATGTCTGGACATTTAATTAGTATTTAATTGGTGGTCTAGTGGATAAGACTTTGGCGTTTGAAACTATGGGCACTTGGTTCGAGCCTCGGTGGGAACAGGTACATCTAGTTAGCTGACGAGTCCCAAATAGGACGAAATGCGCATCCTGAATCCCACTGCTAGTCACCATCCACCAATTAAATACATAAATATGTCTATCTCTTTGTCACTCTTCTTCTAATTTCCTTACTATGGATTGCATTCAATCTCCTTAATCACCAGTGGATTATCTTTCTGTTACATAATGACATTTATTTTATTACTTTACGTTCCCAGGGGAACATAGGGCTTTCAAGCTAGAGGCCTGAAGTCTCTCTAGCAGTTATTATTTTACAGGATGGGGTTGCTAGCCTCATGCCCAACCTCCTCTCTTTACCAGTCTTATTACTGGCTTAGCGAGGTAAAGGAGTGTGTTGGTGGCCGGGGATCGAACCCCGGACCATGTGCATGGGTGGCGAGCGTCCTAACCGCTGCGCCACCGACGCACATAATTTCATTGCTAAAATTAAATTTTAACTCGTCTGACGATAACGACAGTGCACTTGTTAACTTGATTTTATACTTTGCTATTTCACCGCTTATTTTTCTTTCACTTTCACTTTAATAAATAATATTGCTATGTGTAGCACAAAATTTTTTTATTCTCGTAGATTGATTTGTTCACTTTTCACTGGCGGCTCACTGTAGACGTAGCTCTGTTTTCAGCATACAAAAAACAAAAACATCTGCTAATCGTAATATTTCTTACTTGCTTGAATCTTAAATAGAATCAGTATCCTGGAATGTATCCAACTCAACCTGTACCTTCCTATCCTGGATATCCTTATCCACCAGCTGGTCAAGGTGTTGTCTACATCCAAAATGGCAGTACTCCCTATCCACCTGCACAACCTGTAACTCCAACACCTGGACCAACGCAGATCGGGTCTGGTTGGGGTGGTACAGCAGATGTTAATTTATCCAATCAAGCTGCAAGACCAAATTATCCGCCTCCACCATATCCAGGCTATCCGTCATCATCACCACCACCAATCACAGATGATCCGACGGTTAATCCAAGTGCTCCAAGGTATATGAATCGCTGTTAATATTATGTACCTTTGAATTTAGAAACTGTTGATTACTATGATTATTATGATTATGTGTAAAAATATGTACTGGTGTAACAACAGAAGATAAGCGCCAGACAACAGATCTTTTATTAAGGAAATCAACACATATTTATAGATTTTCATGTAGATTATTATAGATTATTGTTAGGAGAAAGACACAGTCTTCTGATTGGTTGTTTCTCACTGAAAGGTGACCTTGCATCTCTTTGTGACTGTTTCTTGAATGTCAGATCATTTATGTGCTAAGTGTATCCGCCTACGCAAAGTCTTTGTTCTCATTTTTCTCACAACCAATTTTGGGGACATTAACATTAACGTAAACTACTGTCTCCCAATTTTGACTAGTAGCCAGCTCTCACCACAATACTACGTCACGGTTCGACGGATACTCCTGAGGCAGTATATCTTGATTGCTTCTGAATCTATATTGAGTCGTCATAATCTCCGACTGTTCTTCTCTCTCTTCTCCAATGTATCTATAGTGCTTTCAGTGATAACCTTACTGAGTGTCTGATTTGAAAAATCTCTGAAACTGGTTACTCCAGTCTGTTAATTACTGTTACCTATTGATTGCCCTCTCATTGATTTTTGTCAGTCTTTGTCTAAATAGTCACTCCAAGTGTTGTGTTACTCTGACTGAATCTTTACGTATGTGTTTTCAAATTCGGGGGTTTCATAACATTTTATGGAAAAACCTGTGTTTTTTCTAATCGATATGGTTCCTGGACGACCACGAATGTTAGCCGTTCATTCTTGGAATGTAATTTACCGTGTATGACAGCACAGATTCCTCTCAAAAAATGTTTAGAGATAGACTCGAGAAAGTAAGGATCCTGTATTGTTTAAGCTTCCATATATATCTGAAGTGAAAATAATCAGTTTCGTTGTAGAAGTGTGCAAAATTTTTCGAAATAAGGAGAAGTAGTCGATGATTAGAAGCAGTTGGAAAGTTGTTAGGGATTGGTAAGTTGTTGACGTTCCTCTACTTCACATTATCTGAAAATTCGCCTTTTGAAACTTTTTGAGAGGAAAAATATGTCAGTATTGGTTATTGTGATATTATTATTATTTCCTTTAATTCCTAGAGGAACATAAGGCTTCAGCTCCACGCCTCAATTGCGTTTGGTTCTCTGCTAGAGTTTTCACCTGGCTACAAGTCTGCCCACATGCATTCATCTCCTTTTCACATGACCTCCCCCAGGTCACCATGCCCTTGCACTGACGACCAACTCGCTGCTTCCTTTTTGGGTCCCACCCGAGAAATGGCTTGTCTAGTGATGTCACTTGATGGTTTGCTTCCTCAGAGTATGACCAATCCACCTCCATTTCTTTCTGCTTGTTTGTTGCACAATCGGATTCTGGTTGGTTTGCTCCCAGAGATTCCTGTTCCTGATCTTTTCTGGCTGGCCATCTGGTCTTGAGTATTGAGCGAAGGTAGCTGTTGATGATCAGTATTGGTAGTATTGTCGAACTAGGAGTCTCACCCCATATGCCTTAAAAGACATTTATTTGTATGTGACTTTTCACTTATTTCCGGAACTGCTTTATTTCGATTCTGTTATGCACAGTTAACTCCGAACTGTAAAAGCCTGTCCAGATATATTTCACACCAGGGTTCACCTTTTCTGATTGTAAGCAGGGAAGTACTGAACATCTTGATAAATGAACAGTGTAACTTCATTTTTATTCTCAACAATAGTTGTCGTTGATTACAAGGTGAGTCCGCAGACTATTCAACCACTAAGACTTGATTGAATGGCCCATGAATCCCAACTTCTACTAAATTCAAGGCCGACCGCCAGCTAGTTTCACTGCCGAGTAAAGTGTTTGTTTTCTCATCCAACTTGGTGAACCCCGCTGCTCATGACTCAAGTCTTGATTAATTAGCAAAATTAAATTGTTTTTCACTAATATTCTTTCAAAATGCGTTGGTGGCTTAGCAGTAGAGAATGCTCACCAGCCACTGATATGGTCCGGGCTTCGAACCCCGGCCACCAATACAGTCCTTTGCCTCGCTAAGCCAGTAATATGATTACTAAATAGGGAAGGTTGGGCGTGAGGCCTAGCAAGCCCCTATGATCCATCAGGATCGTAAAGGAATAAAAAAACGAACTAATTTTTTTTTTTTATATTTTTGAAGCTCAGAAGTAAACATATTGGTGAATTAATAAATCCCTTTTGTTCTACAGACTATATAGTCGAAGTTAGTTTAATTAAGGTATAGACCGTGTATGTATTTCTCATATACATATATTTTTGTTGTTCTTTTACATTTCAGTTCTGCATTCATGACAAAGAGTTGAATTGAGATGAGCACCTTTGTTCGCTCGCTCTCTCTGTCCGTCATAGTCATTCTCATCCTTATAACATGCTTATTTCTGAGTTGAAGGACGAAACAATCAGTATTTACTCAGCTGGTGTTGTTCGATTGTTTGATTTTTTGTTTGTTTTTTTCACACCTTGCATTGTTGTTTTTCTATCCTCTTTCTTGTTAAATATCAACCTTTTTAAATATTCCCCCTGTGTTATTGTTGTTTTTAACAGAAAGAGAGTGAGTGAGTGAGAAAGATACTCGTCTGTTGCTGTTGTCTTTCTACTTCTTCGTTTTCTGTAGATTATCTAAACTATTACTACTATTACTACATATAACGTCTTTTTCATATGCATATGCACTCTTGTATCCTTGCACATGCCATTACTTTGGCGCCATTGTGTACACTTTGCTTGGTTTTCACTTCTTCCTTCTGGCTTCCACTTGCTTCCACCTGTTTCGTATCTTTTTTTCCTATCTAAATATTTATTTTAAAGGGATTTTATTACTTGTTAAATTCATCCATTGGTGACAAAGTGACAAAGATACATTGTCTAGAGACCAGATTACTACTCTTTGTGTGCATGTGTGTGTGTGTGTAATTATTTTATAGTTGTCTTTTTACATTATGAATACATATATTGCGTATTAGACAATCAAATACAGGCTGGTTTTCTAATGTGGCCAGCGTCGTTGTTTTTTCCTCTCTCCCTTAGCCTTCTCTTCCTTCTAGTATTGATATTTAAGGAAAGGAAAGAAAAAAGGGATCTTTCGCTTTATGTAGAGCCCCAGTCGTGGTGTCATTACATTGACCTCGATAAGGATTGTCCAGCCTTTATATATATATATATATATATATATATATATCGGGCCGTAATAATAATAATGTCTTCTGATTGTTACTCAGTTATACTTGTTAGTTGTTGCAGTGAAATTCTCTTCTCTGTTGGCATCTATTCTCCCCGATTTTTTTAATGCTTAATGTGTGTATAACTCGGCATTATTTTGTTTGTCATTTTTTGATTAAATCACAGTGTGCGATAAGATTCCTTATAAAATGAATAATCATCTGAAATAATTCGATTTCTCATTTTATGTTATTTTATTATTTTTTTTATTTCTGTTGCTGTTTTCACTTTCTTTTCCCCCTTTTGGCGCACAATGTTTTTTCTTTCTTTCCATTCTTGTAAGAATGTGTTGTACACTTTTGTGCGTTTGTGTTTTTGGTTATCAAGGAGATGGATAAGAAGTGAAACAAATGAGACACACACTCTCTCTCTCTCTCAACAACTACAAATAATGTTCAATGATTTACCTATTTATTTATTTTATTTTTTGTTTTTGATTGTCATTCACAGCTTGAATATATTTTTTTGTTTCAATTAATCTACTACTAAATTTATATACATAAACATATACCACCAAAACAGAGTTCATTTTGAATTGGATTTTTGATTTTCCTATCAATTGATTGGACCGAAGTGCTCGGTCTGCGGTTGACATGTCGGTTTCTTGTGCAGATGCTTCGACTATGTCTGGGTATTTCATTAGTATTAAATTGGTGGTCTAGTGGATAACACTTTGGCGTTTGAAACTATGGGCACTTGGTTCGAACCTCGGTGGGAACATCATCAAATAGGACGAAATGCGCATCCTGAATTCCACTGCTAGTCACCATCCAGCAATTTGAGTTCATTTTGTTGGGTTTTTTTCCCCAGTCCTCCCCCCCAGCCTTTGATTGGACACTAACTGGGTTGTCTGCTTATGTGTTCTTAGATGGTTGAATACAGTTTGATAGGAAACCTTGCACACCCCCATGTTGGTCTGTTTGCTGGCACATTTTCAGTCAAGTGTATCTTCAAGGAACTCGATTATGTCCCTTCGGAGATGTGCACGCGTGTCACCCAGTGTTGCTAGTTAGTCACGTTACCACTGAGTCATTGAAGCTAGCGATTAATCTCCTGTAGGACTACTGTATTAGATACTTTGATTGGACACTAGTAACTAGTGTGATGTGTCTAGCCAGTCCTTTCTTTGATGCAGACTGAATTCTGTCAGTCAGTCAGTCACGTTTGCAATGTGGCCAGCATTCTAGTTAGCTTCCCATCATGGTGCACACATTGATTTGATGGTGTTAGATGGTTGGAGGCAATCGGCTGCAAGAAGCCTTTGACCTAGATGTGGCCTAGGCACTCGTCAGTCAGTCAGTCAGCAAGGAGTATCTGCAATCATATGGGAAGGAACTCATGTCCCTTCTGAGATTCGAATCCACGTCGCCCAGTGCTACCAGTAGTCAGAGACCGGTACCACTGAGCTAACCGGACACGCGATTGACCTACTGTAGGACTGTTCAAGTGTTGGTCTGTAGGGATTTGGTTGTTTGGTTACAGGATTTCATCATGAGCTGACATTGGTTAGAGAACCATCGGAAAACCTGAGAGTACTGGACAGCTGTTTCCGTTGTCCTAGTTTGCGACTCTTCAGCACTACGCACCCACCGCCTCGGCTCGAACCCAGGACCTTCTGGTTACAAGGCAAACTAGCTGGCAGGCCATTAAGCCACAGGGACTCGATCCAGTTGCCCATGAATTCCAACTTCTGCCAATTTACAACATAGAGCGACCCCTAGCCAATGTTTTCGGCGAGTATTTGTCCTCACATTCGACCTGCTGCACACGACTGCTTACTAGAGCCCCCAGGTAACTTACCAGAATGGGGCGAATCGCTAGTGTGGACCCAGAATGTCCTGGATTCGAACGCCGTACTGTGGGTGCGTACTGTTGAAGAGTCCCAAACTAGGACGAAACAGCTGTCCAGTACTCACAGGTTTTCCAGTGGTTCTCTAACTAATGTCAGCTCACTATTGATCTACTGTAGGGCTGTATTGGAGACTAAGTACTTAGTAACTAGTGTCAGGCATCTTGTCCTTAGTTTTGGTGCAGGCTGGATTCTGTCATTGAAGCCAAGTTTGACTAGTTGGTTTCAACACTGAACTTTGCACAGAAGTGCATCAGTTCGAGCTGCCGCACTCCATGTAACACTTAAAGCGAGAGAAGAGAGTAAACAGTTACATTCAACAAAAGCGAGATGATAAACAAAAAAAAAGTAAGGCGAAAAGGATAATAGTAATATGGAAGAACAATAAAATTTTATTGGGTATGATAAATCAATGCATCTGAGCCAGCCAGGCAGCCACTGACAACAATTGTCTCCAGCCGTCACTGGTTCTTACCATCCCGAAGACCCCTTCCTGTCAGAAAGTCGTTTACACCTTCCTATGTAGCTGGTTTAAACTAACTGTGGTGGATTCCATTGACTAATAAGGGCGTGTTTCGGTTTGACCACGACTAGCTAACTCTTTTCCAGCCTAATCATGTGTCAAGTTCGCAATGTGCGTTTGCACCATCCCAGGTAGCTCGCCATCATGGTGGACTCTGGTTTAATGTTACTAGATAATTAGAGGTAATTGTTAGGAAACCTTACATCTAGGTTTTGTGTTTGCTAGCACTCGTCAGAAAGGTATATCTGCAATACTGTGAGAACCCATGTCCTGGGTTTGAATGTCAGAGGGTTGCAAATATGCGCAAGATAATGACAACAGCAACAATAGGGAATCTAAATCATCAGCAGTCATTCCATACAAAGAAGGAACTTATGTAGCCTTACGCAAAATTCTTAGCAAGGCAGGAATAAAAGTGGGTGGAATTCAAACCAACCACAAAATCAATTAGAAATAAGTTTTGTCGGTTAAAGGATCCATCCTGCCAGTGGAGCCTTTAAAACAAAACAATTTAGTTGGTCTAATACCCTGCTGGAATGATTGCCAGGTCAAATACATAGGTAAGAGTAGTAGAACAGGGTCAGTCAGTCAGTTAGACTCGCCGAGCATAAAAATCTAGCGGGAAAATCTAGATTAGTTGACCCAAATAAGATAAGAAATCTAGAGAATAGTTTAGCTATACCACTTACCACATTCAATTACACACAACCATAAAATAGAATGGGTGGAATATGATGACAGTTTTAAAATCTAATGTCACAAGGTGTAGGGATGGAGAGATTGATAACGGAAGGTTTGTTTATCGAATCAACTGAGAGAGAACACATTTAATAGGAATGATTCAACACCTATCCACCCAGATATCTGGAAAATTCTACTACCCAAATGACGACAAATAGGAGAAGACAAAGAAAACTCTAAAACTCAATTTTCGAAGTCGTGTGATCAAAATTGGCGATATGTTCGAAACTATGTCATCCAGTTAATAATACTGTTTCACTCATTGTGTGATACACCTAATAAACAAACTAATATGGAATTACTTACTACCGCCACAGTGCCCAAGTTTTACACTTATTTTAAGAGACATTTAATATCTAACATAATTTAGCAGTGTATTTATTCCCTTGTACTCTTTTTTCTAATCACTACACAATAATTAGTCAGTGTCAAAATGTCAATGGGTTAATAATAAACGAAGAAAATCAATACACACAATTAAAAGGTAGAAATGGTTAGAATAAATTAATTTTACAAGGACAACACGTAAATTAAAGATGAAGTGGTCAAAATAAATAAAAAATTAAATAATTTGGACAATTATAATTTTTAATTGTTTAGGGATAGGTGGGCGAAGTAGTCCAGTTTATGCATTCATGTGACGATGGCCAAGGTAGAGAAAGTGGCTGTACAAATTTCTTCTGAACACACAAGTTTGGCTTCTTCAGGTGGATTCCTATTGCTTCTGTAGAAGACGAACTCTTAGAGCAAAATTAAGATTAGTAGGAATGCGATAAATAATTTTCAACACAGTATTAACATCAACTTTCTTCTCACTAGGTATCTACAAGGTGTGCTAAAACAGAGCTACGAATAGATTTTGTTTATCCATTGCTTAACCATGTTGGATGATGTTCGGAAATACGACGATGAACTTGCCTAATTGTACGCCCAATGTAGCTGACTCCGCAGCTGCAGTCAAACTGGTAGAT